ATTTTAATTTTTTCACTCCTAGGAATTTCCTAGGAAATTTCTAGGAATTCTTTGAATTCTTCGTCCCAATTTACTGTGAAATTTCACACCTTATTCCTAGGAATTTCCTAGGAATATTCTTAGGAAATTCCTAGGAAAATCTTAGGATTTCCTAGGAATTTCCTAGATCTTTTCGCAAGGGCGAAACCGTTAAACATGAGTATGAATTAATTTTATCATGATATCGATTATTACTCATTGAAATTTCCTTCTATAATTTTATAAATATAATGATCACATGATCCATCAAACAAGTTTCAGGAGACTTCAGATCAAAGATACCATTAACACTCTTTATTGAAATTTCTTTGGCTGAAAATTTAACAGTGTCAAATTCTTACATGGATGGTAATGCGGGCTTTGAAATACAATATGTCAAGTATTATTTCAATGTACCCAGCCCAGATGTAGAGTAATATTTAAGTACAGTCATATGCAAAGCATTAGTTAGCCCTGTGTTTATATTTCCAAGTTTCGTTTAGGTGGGATGTGGTCAATCAACGAGGGAGCTTAGCTGGGTAGGACTTCTTAAGGAAGGATTTTTGCACAATTAGCAGTTATGTTGCAATCAGATTGACCATTTTGCAGTTGTTGATAAGAGTACAGACAACACTGCTGTCATCAACGTGTCACACAATGTGTCAGGCACTGAAAGAATAATGTTTTATTTGATGTCAATGTTGTGGTATAAAACAAATTGACAGTGGTTTAGCATGGTCTGTATTCTTATGGACAACCATATTTGTCATCGCAGTGGTTAAATTTGTTGTGGACTCACTCAGCTGCACCTCATATGTCCCCAACATTTTGACCTCTGTGCTGAGGAATATCCTTCTCAATAAGAGTACAGACCGTGCTAGACCACTGTTGATTTGTTTAAGTGACTGACTTTGGCCCTCAACAAGTTTTGTAGAGGCAGCCCCTTTATTATACTTAGCCCCCCCTCTTGTCTGGTGTTCTGCAGAGTAATGAGCTTTGAGGGACCTGTTTATTAGAGTGTGGATGGTATGACAACTATAAAAACAATCCTTTTATTTGTGCACTTAAGAATTTACCGAAGATAGAAACATTTTACATGAATTAGAGAAATGTTGATTAGTAAATTAATTAATACGGACCAACATTTTATGGAGTCTTAAAATAACCGAGGAGAATGTGCTGCCTTTGCTTTGACATCTGCACATGGTGAGACAATGTAGCCTTCATGGAAGGATAAATCGTAGGCCCCTTTACTGCCTCTTCTGAACTGGTTCACAGGGGATGTTAACCCTTCACACCCTAACATCAGTATGCATATTCTCCATACTGTTCTCCATATATTTCCTAGGATGCTGACAAGGAGAATTTGTTTAAAAATCAAGAGCTGATTTAGTTGGTGATCATTTCCTTAATTCTCCTGACTTTAGTGNAGTATAAGGAGATATTAGTTGATAGTGACTCTTACAGGTTAAAAGGTTAAAGAACCCACCCAATTCTCACAAAGAGTAGGGAATCTAGCTCTTATGGTTGTGGTCTGATCTTGTTTCCAAAAAAATTCCACAAGGAGGACCACCTGCAAATGTTCCAGTAATGCACTGTGGCCAAAACCCCCCCCTACAAAATGTTGTAAAGTGCATCATCATTTGATGAAGCTAAAATTCTAGTTGTTGTGGTAGCTCTATTACTTAGAGTAGGGATGTTTGCCAATATTTTCAAGTAGGCTATTCCTCAAAGATGCAATTTCTGTCATTTAAAGAATATGCTTATTCTCCATACTAGCTGTTTTTTATACATTTCCAGGGGTGCTAAGAGCAAATATTTTTTTAACAATTGAGAGCTTCTTTAGTTGGTGATCATCTCCTTTATTCTTGTGACAAAACATAAATGTCACCATTGAGTATTAAAATACTCAATGCTGATGTTGTACAGAAAAGTTAGAAGCTAGTTTAACTCATTTTATGGAATTGAGTCGTCTTACCTGCCTTCTCTCTTAGGTCATGAGTACCTTCATGTGAAAAAAAAAAAATTATTTCTGCTATTGTGATCACTTAGTTTATTTAACATTACCTGTTATATTAGAGTCCTGATTGTGTTGAATGTGTCCTATTTGGTTACTTTGTAGATTGCTCACAAGCACTTGGTATGGAAAGTCAGAGAATCAGTGATTCCCAGCTTAGTTCCTCGCGGCATTTCTTAGACTTTAGTCCTTCCAAGGGAAGACTGAATAGTGACAAGGCTTGGTATACCAGAGGAAGTGGGAAGTGTTTTGAGATTGACTTACAGGAGGTCAGGCATGTCTTGGCCATTGCTACTCAAGGATACCAAGGAACATTCAAGAACTATGTCAAGACATTTGAGATAAAGTACAGTTATGATGGTGTGAAATGGACTAATTACAGAAATGAAAATAATGGAAAGGTGTTGATTTATAACTACCTTATTAGTACTTAATTTTGGCGAGACATTATTTTGCAGGGTATTATTTTTGCAATTTGTAAGGACAAATGTGAAAAAAGGCACTAAATTTTGTGATTCAGGTATTTCCAAGTTCACTTCATTTTTCAAAAGGTCTGAACTTTTAAAAAATTTCCAGAGAAAGTGGATAAAGCAAAATGCAAATTATCATTATTTCACAACAGAAAATACAAAATGAACTTATCAGTAAAACCAATAAATAATTAGTGTATTTTTCAAACATATCCTGTATATAATAACATAGCAATAATTTTTTTTCTGTGATTTGGAATTTCCATAATTATTGGTTTTAGATTTCTTATATGTATAAATTTTGCAGAATTTTTATCCCATGTTTGTAGTTTTGCAGTGCATGGTTTTTTTTTTTTCAACCACAGAAAAATGTGTAGTCAATATGATATGATACATGAAAATGTTCACTCTTACATAAGCAGACAATGAGACAATCATTTACTTTGCTTCTGAAAGAGTCAGTTAAAATTGAATGTGTTTTGAGAACCATACAAATACTTTGTTAATTTCAAACAATCTCTAACAAATTTCAAGATGGTTGCAAATCAAGATAACCATATAAATGGTGAACCTTGGTAGTTTGCCTAAGTGGTAACTTTGAGAAAAACATTTATGATCACCCTGCAATGAGGCAATAAGAGCAGAAATTATTAACCACAGACTTGAAAGCTTAATGAATTTCTGTTCAAGGTACATTGCAGGGTTGGTAGAATATCTTCTTTTACAATGTTTATTATTTGTAAAATGTTTCATTCAATGTCTGCTTTCAGAAATTTTCTGGAAATAGTGACACAGACACTGTGAAATACAACTACTTCAGAGGGACATTTGAGACAAGATTCCTCAGAATATTTCCCAAAGAGTATAACACACGTGGGTATAGATGTCTCAGAGTGGAAGTATATGGATGTAGTGACAATACTGGTGAGTGAATTCAGTGGATGCTTGCTTTAATTGCCACTGCACAAGTCATGGAATATCAATACAAAGATAGTAATTAAAAGAGCTTTAGATGACTTACTGATGTACTATTTGGCTTTATGCTCTTGTCTACTGATCACGGATGCTTAGTATGCAGGACATGACTTTTGACTCTTTAACTGTAATGTGAACTTCCCGACTTCTTCTAACTTAATTCTTGTTCGCCAGCCTGTCAAAAGAGAAGGCATTCCACTTTTTCAAAGGTGTTCAAATTATTAGGGCTAAAGCACTCTCATCCATACCCAAACATGCATGTTTATTCAGATCAAAATTGTTTTAAATAGGGGTAGCCAATTCAACCTTTGGCTTTTTCCTAGAGGTGATGTACTTATAAAGATACAAATACATTGAAATACAACAGGTACTTTCAGAAGCAGATAATTCAATTTACAACTGCCTTCACCACACCACATATGGTTAGTAAGTTAGTCCTACTTGAGTGTCTTTGCACATAAAGCCTTGGCCAGAGAAGACTACTGATTTCTATTGTGTGCTTGCACATGTTCAGCATCTTCTTCTCATTTCCCTTTCTACAATTCTCCTTCAATTATAAGTTCCCTTGAGTTCTCTTATTGGCCTCTCTTAAACCCATTGGTCGGCCACTCTAGGCAGGGCGGCGGTTCATGTGATTTAATTGGATTTTTTTTTTGCAGTTTGCTCCCGTTTCTTTGAGTGGGACTTTTTCCTGAAATCCCTCAACCTGGCAAATAAAGGACAAGTGAATATTCCTCCAGATGATAGCTATCAAAGCTGCCAAGTTGTTCCTGGAAGTGCAGCATACTACAATTATCAACTGGAAAACAAGTGGGTGGGGATAAATGCAGACATCTTCAGTGTGGATGAAGAACAAGGCAATCAAGTTTTCAAGGTTCTGTATCTGGAGTTTGTAAATTGATAGGTTTGTGAATAGCATGCAGGCCAGCTGCCAATAGGCTATGACTCACAGCCCCCAACATGAAACTCGTCACCCTGCAGTGTGCATCTTATTTCATGGCAAGCAAAGTGTTGCAAAAATTGCAAATGAAAGAGAGATTCTAAAAGAGAGGTGGGCATAGAGCTTCATCATAGTCTATTATGAATTGTAATCCAGATCTCACAGAGGTCTTGTTCCTGGTATGGGCATATAAGGTCTCCTTACTAAACAGGCGTAAAATGGGCCACAGGTTCAGGTCACAGGGGCTCAGGCTGGGGATCATGGAATGGGCTAGGGAACTTGAGGCTGCAAGCTGTGAGGTGGACCACAGGTGTTTCTGTACCTGTTTCTGCAATCAGTACGTTGTGAGCAGCTGGGCCACCTTTTTGAAATACTTGGATTTTTATGAAGTCTAATATTGGGGTTTAAGAAGTGTAGTGATTTGTGCACTTAAATTGTGGAAAAAATTAGGGAAGGTAAAT